TATATATATATATATACTAAATGATTATGAGCAAAATTTTCTCGAGAGAATCGTTTGGATACAAAACATTTACACAATTTGGAGAAAGTAAGCGCTGCATTGCAATTTAGGAATTTGGAGTAGAAAACAATATTTTTTAGAATAGCATTATTATTCAAAAAATAGAAACTTACTAACACTTTTGAAAGTTGGATATATGTTTGGCAAATAGTTTGAAAGACTTTGAAGATGCGAGCTTTTTAAAAACAATTCTTGTCTTGAAATTAAAAAATATGAAACGTTTATTAAGACAGGAAAGACCCAATCTTTTGAGATTTTTGCTAGCCGTGTTAACGCATTTTAAACGTAACTGGAAAAAATGTGTACTGCATGTACATTTTTTTAATATTATATTTTTTATCGCAAAAATAAATACCATTGCCACAGACTGTAAAATGCTGGGAGAAAAATATTTTGCAATACCAGTTTTTGCCCGATGTTTCTCAGTAAAGTTAAGCTGCCAAAATATATTTTACGACGTCTGTTTTCATTTATTTGTAATAAAAAAAAAAACTATGCTTATAATGTGCAAAAAACTATTTTTGTCGAGAGCAAAAAATCACCGAACAACTTGCGATTTTATAAATCGAGTTTTTGACGTCATGATCGAGATTTTGAAAGTGATAAATGTCTATTGAATGATTTGTAATTTGTAGATTAGTTATTTTTTTATTTTTTTGTTGTTTTATAAATCTTTCAATATTTTATATAATATGTAATCATATATTTAACAATCGAATAATTTTTCAACAGCTTGAATTAAATTTGTTTCATCAATTCATTCAATCAATTAAAGAGCTAATGAATATGTAAATGTTTATTTTATATATATATATATATATATATATATATAATTAGACAGATAATTCAATGTAGTAAATATTATAATGTAAGCAGTGAAATGCAATGATCGATGTTTCAGATAAGTAATCTCTCAACAGGTACTTGTTAATTTTCCTCCAGTGCCCCATAAAACTTTCACTAACCACACAAAACAACTGTGTCAACTTTGAATATTTATTGCAATCAAGTTTTCTTCAAAGAGACACAATTGAAACAAAAATATGAAGTGAAATAATGATTTACAAAATAGTCACGTATTTTCATTTACTTGGTTACATTGACTTATGATCTCAATAACTGCTTTTACTATTTAATCATTCATACGAGTAAAAAATTGTATTACTTCTTTCTTTAGGAGGTATAGGTATATTATTGTATAAAATATTGCGAAATTGCCTTTTATTTGAAATGCCTTCACTCTCATTTGCTTATTGACTAATGTTATGAACGATGCTGATTGTATTTAAATATCTGCAGAAATTTTAATTTTATCTAATTTAAATACATAAAGCTACAATAAAAATGTGCAGAAATACTAAATTATTAATATTGTTCGTAAAATTAGTATGGACTATTCAAATGCCCGTTTAGATACATATCAATTTCCTGTACCAAGAATGTACCTTGATATAATTTACGCCTTCAGCATAACTGATATATAGGTTATTTTAACCACAAGCATAAATTATATAACTAAATATTTGTTGAAGAGAAATATTACATGGAGGAAATACCAAAAAAAAAAACAAGGAAATTTTAAATGATCTCGAAAACTAGTGGACGCACCGAAATCTTTACCAAATATGTGTTGCCTAATGATTTAATTATTTATGCTGAATTTAAATGACAATTTTTTTAATTATGTTTTATTTTATTACATGAGATTTAATAAAATCACATATTATGATTATTGGGCATTTATACAGGCATTTTATTCATAAAGTTTATAGAAGTTTTGCTTCAAATTAATTTTTATATATTATTTTATCAATGGGAAAGAACTATTGAGTTTTTTTAAATATGCTATATTAGTTTTAATAGGCATTTTTTAATGTGGCATTCAACATTTGCTAGATGCATTATATTGGATAGTAGAGAAATATAGAGGGAAGACATATTTAGGTATGATAACCACATTTTCATTTCTTATATAAACAATTATAACGTAAGGTAGCTCTAAATTTATTTTTGGCAATTATACTTCGAAATCCAAATTATATCAAAATAAATAACACACAACTATATACAACTATGTTCAGTAAAATTTCCAGCTAATTCATCATTTTACAACAAAGTTTTTTTTTAGTATTTTTCAAAATTTGTCACCCGGTCCTTTTTACCCCTAAGGCGGGCTTAAATGGAACAGCCAGGAAGCAAATCAGATCCAATGTCTTATTTCTATTCTAATTTTATGGGGATTTCATTTCAAATAATATTTCAAATAATAGCTACAATATTCAGCCAATGCAAAATATAAACTTCGTGGGTGCATTTTTTACACAGATAACACTGTATATAACCTTGATCTGGTATTGCGTCAGAAATATTTATCAGCAGAATTTGGAATAACTATTTATTTAATTTATCTTTTGTAAATTTGATTATTTAACTTTATTTACTTTTTAGTTACTATTTTTTATTGTTTATACCTTGGCCAGTTGGTCTTTTTTACTTCACTCACGTGTAAGCTTTTATAGAGTTTATATAAAAAACTGTTGAATCTAACTTAAAATTAAGAAAACATTTTATAAAACAATTCAATAACGTATACTTATAAAATTATGTTAAGGTCTTATAAACTAAGCAACAGTGCTCACAACTAAAAAAACTAACAATAAAAGAAAGTAGTATAGTTACGAATTTTTAAACATCGTCCTCTATCTCTCTCTAACAACATCGTAAAAATCAATGTGGTGACTGGTTATACATCTTTTTCCTTCTACTTGCAAATATTGTGGTTAAAAAATTATTATATTTACTTGTTTTTAAAATATCGATGGTGGACTTTTTTACCCGCAGACCTTCAAACACATCTCTACTCTACATTTATTTATTTATATTTATATGTAAAATCATTGTAATAAAATTTGAACATAGAATAGCAAAAAGGTTGATTAACATTCAATAGAATAGAATACAAAACATATGTAAAGTAAAGAAGTGTGTAAAATGCAATAAAATATAGAACATTGAATATAATAAAGATATAAAATAAAAATATTGTATAAGTAACGAGCTAATAATACTAATAATTAATGGTAGTAGAAAGTTATTACTGGGCAATGGCTATAAAATCTTAAAAAAATCACATTTTAAATACGATCGCTGCAAATATTACCTAGTGATTCACATTACTTTTAATTTAACAGCAATTTCAATTGACTGATCGAGAAACTACTGCAATAGTATTAAAAAATATTATACATAAAAATATGTAATAGCAAAAACATATATCATTTGGTTTATCAGTAATAATTGAGCAATCGTGTACTCGGTACAATTAAGTTATTCAAGTTAGTTCTCAATTTGAATCCCATGATATCAATAAGTTTAACTATTTCTATGTTTAGACT